ACAGCAGCGGGGCATGGGGGGCAGCAGCAGGGCATGGGGGACAGCAGCAGGGCATGGGGGACAGCAGCGGGGCATGGGGAACAGCAGCAGGGAATGGGCTCTGGGACGCCCCGTCCAATCCAGGCGCCCAAGTGCAGGCGGGTGCAGAGCAGGCTCCTGGCGCCGGGTCCTCTGGAGCCTCACGGCTTTCTCCATGTGGATGACATCCACAGGAAACTCTTCAGTGAGTTATGAAGTGGGGATGTTTGGAAAGGACGACCGGGAGTTCCATTCCCCCGGTCTCCCTACCATCAACGATATAACAGTACTGTAAGTGGTCAATCAAGCAAACGATTTGTGTCGTTTGGCTTTTATAAGCATTGTAAGTGCCAATCAAATAAGGCCCTCTCCCTCCTTAGCCAACAGTGACCTCGTGGCCTGGTTTTGTGTCCAGTTAGCTTGACGTGTGACAGTGAGCCCTTGCTACAGCAGCTGGTCCTTCTTATCATCAAGACCAGCAAAGTCCCTCTGTGGGTACTTCTCACTCTGACGTCCTGACAGGACACATCAGCTAGCTGTCTACACAGTGGCTGGGGGACAGCCCTCAAGGTGAAGGAGGACTCCCGATGGCCCTGCGCCCTTCCCAGCAGCCCAAGGTGACTGTCAGCCACACTCCACTGGCCCTCCTCCCTTTCTCACTTACAGTAAGAAAGTGCTAGCATTTCTCCTTCCAAATCCCATTGCCATGTTTTCATAGAAGAAGAACTAAACACTGAATAAATATTATTTCTGGAACTCGAATTTCACAAGAGGTAGTGTCTCAGCCAACAAGGACAGCGTTTAGATCGTCATGACTGGGGCTTGGGTGGGAAGTGACATTTTCCATTTGGTCAGTCCTTTCTTATCTGACCCAGTAAGAGCGGAGCAGGGCTGTTCCCTGTGCCTTTCCCGACCCCGAGCGCCAGAGCAAACAGAAGAGTTCGGCACGGTGACGCCCTGCTGCAGTGGCATGAATGCCAATGAATCTGGATGGCGGAGGCAGTGGGGACACAGAACTTCCTGTCTCTGCTTTCACGGGTCTCACCACACTGACGCAGAAAACACCCCGGCCTGTCCAGGGCCACCCTCACGGAGAAACCCACAGAACAAACTACGTCTGAGAACCTGCCACTGGAAATGAGAATGTTTTATTCAGACCCATGGGACTATGGGTGAATTTTTATTGAAAAAGTATTTTCTGGAATAAAATCCATTAAGCCAATTTAATTCTTTAATCAAATTTTATAGCATGTAGTTAAATAATTTTTATTT